TTTTTTTTTTTTTTTTTTTTTTGAACAGCCCCCACTATACCTTTTTGTTTTATTCTTTTGTTGCCCTAAGGATCGTGCTGTGTGTCAGTGTCATCCATAAAATGCATGGTCGGCGGCAGTGGTTGTTTAAAATAATTAATTGAATTTTAAATTTTAATTCAATTTAATTGTTAAAATTTTCAGTAATTGAATGGGCATCCACTGGGTGGAAAAGTTTCCATCGAACCTGCAACCCCTCCTTTAAAAAAAAAGAAACAGAAGGGAAAAAAAAAAAACAAAAACAGAGAATAGAGAAAGACAAGGCGTACCAACTTCCCTGCTGAGTTGCTACACCCTATGAACCGCTGAAAGTTACAGACCTGAGTTCGAGTCCAGACTCCCTCAGAAGACGGAAGGATATTATTAATCAGTTAAAAATATCCTGTGTTTGGTTTACCTGCCACACAACTTGTTTCTTTCTGGAAAAGTTTCTTTCCTTCTGTTCGTTCGCTCCCCGACCCGCCCTGGCTCCCCCCCTACCGTGTATAGCTCAGAAAAGAAAGGTGCACTTGACCCCTTTATAGGAATGAGCCCATCTAAGAAGCCCATTTTGTTGAATCGTACACATCGTACACGTATGTAACCCATGTACGAAGCCCATGTTGCCGAATGGTACACAACTTTTGTTTTGCCGCCTCTTAGTGCTGCGCAAATGGCATGGTAAGCTGGCAGGAAAGTTGAAGATATAGTTAACTCTTAGTGATTCAGCAGGTCAGGTCATGTACGAAGCACATGTTGCCGAATGTGTACGATGACCTGAATGATTCAGCAGGTCAGGTCATGAGTTCGACACTCGACACTCGACACTCGAAAGTTGAAAGCTGAAACTTGAAACCCTTTATGGTGGGGAATCGAAGGGATACAATAAAGCTAGGGAGTAGCGCCTTTTAAAGGGAGCCATGAATCAGCGACTCAAATGTGAAAAGCACAGGAATGCAGATGGCGAGTGTAGCTTTGTACCTTCGACCGGCAGATACACGAACCATTTGACACATTTGGTGAGCATGGCTGCGCGGTCCGTCAGCTGGAATAGAGATGAGGAGTGAGGAAGTCGGAACAGGGATGCAAGTGAAGCCAACAGGAGGGAGTATGGTTATGAAGGAGTCGAAAGAACAGAGGATGATGGACCCTGCGTAGGGTAGGGTTGATTCCGGCTCTTTTGTTGCTGGAACTTCTGCGCTCTCTCCGTTTCCTGCAGTAAAACCCTGACCCTGCATAGGGGTTTATAGGGGGTTATAGGGGTTTATAGGGGGTTTATAGGGGTTCTTATGTCACCGGTCCTTCACTGGTCTTGATTTTGAACCCTCTGCCTGGTCAGACCAGGCATGTTTCTACTGAAGGTGCCTCTATAATCCTGGCGATAAGCCCTAACCCTGATTGGGGCTTACAGCTTCCTGGGTGTTGCTGCTCCACCTTGAGTAGACTGGACACGATTGCTGTCTTCTCGGTTCTTCATTCTCATCGGCTGCCAGCCTGCCACTGCCTGAAGGGAGCGGGGGGGGTGGAGGGGAAGGAGAGGGAGAGGCAGGGGGAAGGGGAAGGGGGTTTTGAGGGGTTGCTGGTGGAGCCAGGGACTGGGTAGGAGGAATGGGCCGGTGGTAGGAGAAGGGGGGGGGAGGGGAGGTCAGCAAATGGGCGATCACGAGTGCTTTCACAGACGGGGGACCTTGCCTGGGTGTCTGGTTGCTTCTGCTTCCCCGACATACTTCAGTGTGAGCGGTGGACATCGAATGAGACTGAATTGGCACCGCTGCTACTTCGTCAAGGATGAAATTCTGGTCCCTGTGTGGGAGCTGGAAGTGAGTGAGGGGCAGGCGTTCCCACGAGGCTCAGGTCCCGTCCAGCACTTCCGTCAAAGAGCGGTGGATATTGTGCTGTCTGTCGTAGTCAAAGAGCGAGAGGTTCTTATCTTGCCAAATTTTGTGAAATAGGTCCAGAGGAATCCAGACATCATTGTTTTTCGGTCTGGTCTTTAGCCTCGCAGAGTTGCTGTTTCATTCCTTCCATGCCTTTTGCATCGGTGTGGTGATTCTGGAGATGAATTCCTCCCTCGCCCGAAGGAATCCAAAAACAGAGCCGCTCCACCTTAAAAAAAAAAAAAAAAAAAAAAACACAGAGCCACTCCTCTCAAAGGAGCATCTCATTCGCCAGGATAGCAGGAGAACTGTGAGACGTATGTAAGAGACAAGGTTAGTTGTGAAGGCGTCCCGTTTGCCGGTCAGGGGAATATTCTTGCCCAGCAGGATTAGACTGATTAGTGCTGGTTCCCAGGGAAACTGTGCCCCTGGCAGAAAGTGCCAGGCTGAGTCCCACCAGTGACATAGCTTTTTTTGTGGTTGTTTATCTCACTTTAACCAGTGAAGTGCGCGCTCTGCAAGCGCCTTGGGCAGTTGAGCCAAATGCAACTACACTTGAATGGATGGTACAAAGTCCTCCAGCTTTTCATACCTTTGAAGAACTTCCAGACATCAAAGAAACAAATAACACTGACAGGCTGAGTCCCACCAGTGACATAGCTGTGACACGATCGGGACACGATCGGGAATGCGCGGAGGCATTGTTCCAGCGTGGCTCTAGCGGACTAGGGTGCTCTGCCACGGTAGGCGCAGATTGGGGAGATAGGATACCCCTCCGCTCAAGGTCCGTGGGCGAGACTAGCCAGTCCGGCGTAGGCAGACCCCAGTGCAGGACCTGCCACCGGAGGCAGACCCCACTGTTGGCATTGGTGGGAAGGAGGGCGTGCTGCTTCAGGTTCCCTGTTGGCATTGGTTTGGCATAGAGGTCCATATCACGTCCTTCGGATCGGAGACATCTATGGGGAAAGTACCTTTCCCACCTACCTGAAATAACTTGTGTGAGGTGGGAAGGAGGGCGTGCTGCTCGGTTCCCCCCCTTTCACTTGTGTATTCCCATATGGACATGCTTTTGGCCCCCTGCCACTCCCACTCAACGGTATCGAAGGGGAGGTTATTTAGCGGCGTGGCTGGTTCATAGACCCATTTCTTAGGCACGGAATCACCCGCTGCCCTGCTGATGATGTGTGGGACTTTGATGACTGATATAGGTCTGTAATTACGAACCTCCCTTTTGTCGCCTTTTTTTTTTTTTATAAAGCAAAGAGATGACCCCCTTGACACAAAGTTCCTAGGCACGGAGTCCCGCGCTACCCTGCTGATGATGTGCGCGTGCCAGGCTCTCACTGTCACCTCTCCAGAGGAAAGGCTGCCGGCTGATGTTTCCGCGCTCTCAGCCCTATTCTACTCAGCAGCCATAGTATTGATTATTTTGGCCCTTATCATTTTT